GTGTCAGCTCCGGCCTCATAGGTCGCTCTGTATCGACGCGGGCAGAAGTATCTGAGGTGTGGTATGATTAGAAGAAAGGGGTCGTGATTCGAGAGTACACAACAGTGCTTGCTAGACAAAGACTGATAACCTCTGTTAGTCGATATAGCCAATCTCCGGAACGGTCGTAGGGAAGGTATCTTAGGTTCAAGCTGGTTAGATACGGATTAGGTTAGGAACAGTACCCGTCAAAAGGGATGATGGACCCTAGCCTGCAAACGCTGACTAGTGTATAGCATTCGAACATCTTCAGTGAAACTCCACTGACCGATTTGGACGTTTCTAAGAACCTTTCATTTGACCATACCAGCACTTTCTCAGCCTACCTATTTTCACTACTACCATTAAAAACGAGAACATACTTATCATAGAGCTGATCGTAAGGAGCACTGAAAAGTCCCAATCGGAGGAGACATAGAACAATACCAAGCCCACCAGGCAGAAGATACCCCAGAAGCGTATGTTGTCCTGAACAGTGTCACGCACAGTGAAGATTTTATACCCACCTAGCCACTACTACCATGTTGTTGGCCAGCCACATTTTGCGTTTCTCAGGATCCTGTAGCGTCGCGATGATACCCGTACTCATAGTAAATTTGAAGAGGACAGCTACTACAGAGGGATTACGAAAGACGGATTTGGAACTGCAAGTGGTAACAAGCCGCCATTACGTGTCCAAAACGCAAGATGCCGATGCAACCGCGCGCGCCATTGTGATCGATTAATTTTTTCGACTCATCTCTGCCGTTTTTCATTAGTGGAGAGTTGACTTCGACATTTCTCGCAGTTCCAAGGCTAGGATATGTTGCTGCAGGCTTAGCTGCAACTTCGTGATATTTTTCGAAGATCACTTTAGACGAATTTACAACATATTGGCCTTGTGTTGAGTATAACATTGGTATCAATAATATTAGGAAGGCAGTGGGACGTTGCCATATTATGACTGACCCAACATTGAGCCCTACCACACCAGCAAGTCGTAGGCCTTCTGATGGGGCCTCCGTGAAGCTGGACAGGAGCTCCTCTCCTAAGAACGCATCTTCTCCCAAGCAAGAACAACAGGATAAGAAGAAGGCTGCTGGGTGATACGGACGATCAGTGTCACCACCACTGTCACCATCACTTTTAGGGAGAGTTTCGTACGTAGAATGATGAGAATGTTCGAAAACTGGCCCGAGAAGCAGCAGGCAGTGGTAGGCCCTTCTTGATGTGGTCAGCCCCTGGTCACAACCTTCCAGGCCCTGGTCGCTGGTGAGGTCAGTGATGATGCCCTCGAACAGAAGACTTTAGCTATGCATCAATGGTTGTTGGGTGGTGAACTGCCCGAAACAATTATGGTAGGAAAAGTTGCATAAAATTATGCTCACGAGTAAGCCAGGTGATCTTTGGAGGTGATAAGGATAAGCGTTCGTTGTGGATATTAAGTGATAAGAAGAAGGCGGATATTCTCGAGAAGCTTCTCACTGGAGTTCCCCTAGGAGATAAGTAATACCAATTCTACTGCTACCGCTGTTACTCACGAACACCCTTTGCTCAACCGTAGGTTCACTATCCACTACGAAGTCCTCGACGGTGCCAGCGACGTTGCTGTATATGATAAGGTCTTTGGTAAGTTACTCGTGGTGGACGAGACTACTGATA